GTTAGATTGGATTTGTAATCGCTCTTAAAACCAGGAGATTTCAATTCTATGAATATACTCTATACGTAAATAATATCTATTTATTTAAAAAAAAAAGTCTAAAATATAAATCAAAATACATGATTGAAATAATTATATATATATATTATAAATATATTATGTATATATTATTTATATATTATTTATATAATATTTATATATTATTTATATAATATTTACATACTATTTATATAATATATAAATATTATATAAATAGTATGTAAATATTATATAAATAATATATAAATATTATATGTAAATATTATATGTAATAATAATATGTAAATATTATATAAATATTATATAAATATTATATAAATATTATATAAATAATATATAAATAATATAAATATAAAATAATATATAAATAATATATACATAATATATAAATATTATATATAAATATATATTTTCTTTGAAAAAAGAGAGCTGTAATATTACAATCTTTGCGGTGGAATAAACTTCTATTTCCCTAAATGCGTTATAATTTGTTCATGAGACATTTGCACACATATTATCGCACATCGACACTTTTTCAACGGATAGAAATAAAATGTAGTCTCCTTCCGTAGAGCACTTTTAGAGACGGTCGTGAACTAAGAGATGCATCTCTTCTTACCAATTAATGACGGCGCTTTTTCGTCAGCTTTGTAACGCGAGACCGACTCTCATCGATCCCTAAATGGAGCTAAGATATCCATGATCCTGTTGCTTACAAGCGCCGATAAAAGCGTGATGGACGTGACTCTTAAGAGGCGGAAGGAATAGCCGGTTGTGCGAGGTAGATTTTTTACCCGAGAATACAATGTATACATATATATATATATATATATATATATATATATATATATATATGTGAACAATGCGCACTCTCTCTTTCTCTTTTTCTCCGGAAGAAGCGTCTCTTCCGGCATTTCTTCGCGGAGAACGCAAGATATACGATCAATTCGATGAATATATATATCCGATAACGATTGACTCGCGCGCGCGCGTGATTCTTAAAGATTTCACTCGTCAATTTTTCCATCGGCGATTAAATAACAGGTGTAGATCGTCCGTGGTAGATGCCGGTTTTCATGCTAACGATCGTCAGACAGAAACGCGCGTCTTTGAAGGTACAGCACACCGTTCGTATTCTATGAAACTACGCCGTGTGCCTCTCCGATAAATACAGACCCCTCGAAACTCATTTAACAGGCTGACAGAATGACTGTTTGCATTCGATAACTCGGTAACGTTTAGCGGACAAACTAACTGTCCGTAATCCGTCGAAGCAGCCACTGAATTAATCAATATGTAGACGAGGTACGCGAAGGCTTTTTGTGCTCGTCCGACGAGCATGTAAATGTGCGCGTATGTATGTGTGTGTGTAAATGTACCTGATAAAATATTCCCTCCATTAAAAATCGTAAAGCCATTTAAGCGAACAGACGAAGATAACAGAGTCGCATCGACATTGAATTCTTAACTGCGAGAGCTTTTCATGAAAATTTAGCGGACGGCTCGAAGCTAAAGAGCATTGTATACGTGAAAGATAAGATAAATAAATTGCTCCTTTACACATACAAAGTGTCAACGTATGTATTGTATAAATAAAGCTAATAAGGTACATTTGAGAGAAATATACCTCTCACTCGTATTGATAATGTAATCACTTCAAGACATATCGTCTTCGGGTAAGAAAAATAATTAGAACTGCATTCAGTCTCTTTAAAGTAATTTTTTTTAAAATTTTTGTATCCTCTTTGTTCAGCCATCGATAAAGCCATTAAATAAAATGGAATTAACTTTCTAAAAAATAACGTATCGTGTTTAGCGATTTATCGTACTACGAATTAATTTCTAATTTGCTTAATCTTCATTGACTTTGCATTGACTCTATTTTTTTGACCATTTAATATTTCTTTAATAAATATAAATATAATTATCTATTCTTTATACACAAAAATGACTTAAATTTTTGAAATTATTACACAAATTGCAAAAAGATGCTGATGTGATCATGTATCAGATTTGATACTTTAATAAAATGAAAAATGTAAAAAATATAATTAAATTATTACTATTATTTTACTGCAGATACGAAATATATTTATTTTTTAATATTTTGAAACATAATTGTGTTTCGATTATTTAGAAGGAATATTTGATATTCTCTTTCGATCAATTCGAATAATAGAAAAATTTTATATTTAATACATATAGTAAGTGTCATCAAAAAGACATTTTGCAAATATAATTTCTCTGCAAGTATACTTCTATAAATTAATCATAATACATTGTATATAAAAGTTGTCAAAACGTATTGATAAAATACTTCCGTTTTATACCTATAGCATATTGAATATTTCAATGTAATCATTATTTTCTAATTAATAAAAATTAAATATTCACTTTGAATGACTCGGTGACTAATTTTGAAGATTCTCTTTGAATCTCAAATGAAAATGACCCCTTACACAATTGGTATACTTTTTTATATTTACAATATCAAACAGTATATTTATGAGAAAAACTTGTAAACTACATTTTAATAAGAGATTTTAATAATTTCATAAAGTTCGAATAAGATATATTGAGTGAGATAATTGTTTTTTTTTGTTAATCGACAATTCAATCGTATTAATATCTTGTTTCTGATTCTACATCAATATATATGTAATATTTTTCCTATCTTTCGCTCTTATAAATTACTTTCTTTAATTTTTTTATAAATCTTTCTGTAATTATATTCGTAATATCTGCAATTATATTTCATCTGCAATTATATTAATTCTTTTAGCTTTTAGTTTTTTCGGACCCATCCATCACACATAATTCATAAAAATACTTTTAAAAAATCTAAATCTCTCGAAAAATGTTTCTTATATATGTATAAATCATAATAATTCTTGCAAATTGTTCAAAATAAGCAAAAAATTTTCTAAACTTTATAGAAAATATTATTTTTTTTAATCATCTATATAAATTATTTTGACATTTTTTGATGACAGATTCTAATATTTTATGGCTATAAAATAAGGATTTTTAAATTAGAGATTGCGAAAAAAAGAAAAAAGAAAAGAAAATTAAATAATGTTTTGATTTTATTTTCATAAATTTTATATTCTAGTCTTTCGTTTTTCATAAATGTAAGCATATAATTTTATACACTGCAATTTTTAGAAAATATTAAATTATTAACTTTTGAGACACATTTTCCGATGCGCGTATCATATATTTGATAATTAATATCACTTCAATGAAAATTTCAAAGATTACATATATGTATATGTTCAATTTTCTCTCGAGTTTCCCATCATATCAAAGACACAACTTGACGTTTGGTTACTTCTTCTTCCGCAAGAAACGAGACAAAAATATTCAAAATTTCTTATCTATAAGAATCTCTTTCATTTATGATTATTTCATTATTATATATATTATTATAAATCTTTCACTACATCATTTTATACATGTATATGCGTCTGAGAAAATGACCTTAATTCTCTAAGGGCGTACATATATATCTTCTATTTCTTTCAAGACACTTTTCAACGTACAAAAATCCAAATCTTAAAAATCCAAAAATCTCTCGAAAAATGTTTCTCACTTATATATTGTATAAATCCTACACTGAGAAAAAAATCTAGTTGCGTTAATTCGTTAGAATTCTGGTAGATTCAATTAGTATGTCTGTTCGAAAATGGACGAACCATTCTTGTAGGAATTACCAGATGAATCTGATTAATTTCTTCCTGTTAAATTTACCAAATTTTCTAGTTAATAACACTAAACTCGCCAGCACCAAGTCGTCTAAAATTTTTTCCATCTAATCTCAAAAATCTGTTTAATATTCTGAATTCCAACACGATTATTGAATAAATTCAATCAAGATTATTGAATAAATTATTTTTGTCGATTATACACTGAGAAAAAGATCTGGTTGCATTAATTAGAATTCTCGTAGATTCAACCAGTATGTCTGTTGGAAAATGGATGAATCAGAATTCTTGTAGGAATTACCAGATGAATCTGATTAATTTCTTCCTGTTAAATTTACCAAATTTTTTGGTTAATAATACTAAACTCGCCAACACCAAGTTGTCTAAAATTTTTTCCATCTAATCTCAAAAGTCTGTTTAATATTCTGAATTCCAACACGATTATTGGATAAATTCAATCTAGATTATTGAATAAATTATTTTAAGTTCAGTTTGTTAAAAATTAAACTGATAAACAGTGATGCAAGAAGAGGATGCAGAACACACACAATCAGAGAGCTAGCGTCCTCTTTCTGGCACTACTGCTCGTAAGAGAAAAAAAATATACTTTAGATTTAATGTTAATACTAGTTATTTATATACACGGTAAAAAACATTTTGTATTTCTGTTAAAATTTTCTCGTGTAAAAATTTTTGTGTTAAATTTTTAACATACTCTTATGTTAATGTAACATATTATCGTTGCGTTATTTTGACATTTCTACGTTGAGTTAATATTCACCGTTTCTAAGAGTTAAAACAACACAATTAATATGTAAATGCACGAATTTTTGATGACATATGTTATATGTTACAGTTAACAGATAAATTGTATTATCTTTCTCTCTATAACAGTTTCCACATGTTAAATCGACATATCTCTTCTGTTATTTATCATAAAAATGTAAGAATAATATTTTCTTTAAATTAAATTTAACATTATAAATATGTTAATTCAACATAAACTTCATTTCCAGATAAAGTTTAAGTGTTACACTTTTGTGTTAATTTTTAAACACATTACTCGTGTTATTTATTTACATACTTGCCTTCTGTTAAATTAACATTAAAATTAGAGTGGATAAATTGGGACATGTGAAACACGTTAAATTTAACACAAATTTCTTACTGTGCATATACGTCTTGTTGATACGATCAAACGATTTTTCTCAGTGTAATAATTCTTGCGAAGAACGGGATAAAGAAAAGTGTACTCACTGGCAAACCGCGGGTCGTTGGTAGTCGGCGGCGCCGGCGCGTACCAAGGATGATGGTGCGACGAGACCGCGTGGGACCGCATGGGGTCCGCGGCCGTGGCCGTGGCACCGACGCCGGGTCCGGCGTGATGGTACGGCGACAATTCCGCGGTACAGTACTGGTATTGCGACGTGAGCTGCATGGTGGCGTAAGGATTGCCCATGGCGCTCATGCCACCGCCGGCGGTACCTCCGCCGCCGCCGCCGCCGGGGACGACCCCGTTGGCGACCGAGGAAACCGGTCCGGGGGTGCTGCCGCCGGGCGTCGAACCCCCGTGCAACGGCGGGCTGCCGCTGCTCGCGCTCGAGCTGCCGGTGTTGCCGCCCACCCGGGCACCACAAGCGTTCCCGTAGGGCGAGGCCTGGGAGTGTGTGACGACGCCGACACCGACGGCGGCGGCGGCAGCGGCGAGTTCGAGCTTGCGGTAAGATTCCTCGATCGGCGAGAGGATGTCGGTGACGCTGAACGGCGTCGTGTGAGCACCACCGGCTGCCTGCACGTGGGACGAGTGCTGTTTGGGCGACAGGCTCATCGCCAGATCGATGCCATTGAGGTCCGACAGCAGGCCAGCCTGCTCCAGTTGCGACTGCTGTTGCTGCTGCTGTTGCTGCTGCTGCTGCTGTTGCTGCTGCTGCTGTTGCTGCTGGTGCTGGTGATAGGTCGTGGCGTTACCGTTGCCGCCTTGATTGCCGCCGCCGCCGCCGCCACCGCCGCCGCTGCCGCCGCTCATATCGGCGAGCCCGACGCCGTCGAAGTACTTGAAGCTCGCGCTTCGCGGAATGATGAGGCCGGCGCTAGACGTGACAACTGCGCGACATTACGACGCCACTGGGGTCCTTCTCCTCGCTCGCTGATCGCTGGCCAACGTAGGTTCCTCGATTGACCTTTTGCGCGATCGTTGAATTCTCTCTTCTCGTAGATTTTCTTCGGGTAGTCCGTTCGCGCGAACAACCGAGATCACCCAGGACCCGAGCTCGACTTTGAGTTAATCGCACAATGACACCAACAGTCGTTCGCGCACAATAAGATCTTGTTTCTCGCCTCTTTTCACCAACACTGGAACTTCCGATCCCTCGAAACTGATACGAAGCCCGCAATCATTCGCGATCTTTTTCCCTTCCTATGATCCTGATCGCGTTGAAACGCGCGCATAGTTTGCGAAAGCAAAAATTTCTACGCACAAGCACTTGATTGTTTCACTGAAAGTGCTCGATCTGTTAGGTATCACGGATGTTTCTTCTCAGTAACTATTGAACTTAACATGTTCCCTCACTGCGCTTCTTCCACATTAACTGATGCATATGACACAGTTTTGTTCACGTATTTATTCGTCGTTCTCTTTCGGTGCTCTCTTTTCCTAAAAACGGCCCTCGCAAGCCGTAAAGTTGACGTCAAGGATGAAGAATCGCTTCAATCGCATGGCGTACGAGCCGCGACCGTCACCGAGTAGAAAAATCGATGGCGCGGTCGGCCGGCGGCCGACTCGGATGGCTCCCGAGATGGATGGCTAAATCTCTCGATACCGTTGGAACGAGAAGAGCGTGATCGACGTGTATCGCTGTTGCCTTTCGAAAATCCTGGTGGCACGCGCGAACGTGATCGAAAGAGCTGTCGACCTTACACACACGTGGTCGAGGATAGTGGCCGGCCAGAGCCGGCCGGCGGCCGACTGAAATCACACGGGGGTCTTTGAGTCCTTGGATTCCGTCGATAGAGAGACGATGGTAGATGTACCACTCTACGCTTCGCCTCCACCTTCGTCGAGGATACACTCTCTCTCCGTAGGAGAAGAGCCTGCTCTATGGATGGATGGATGGATGGATGGCTGGCTGGCTGGCTGGCTGGCTTGCTGGGTGGCTGCCTTGCCTGGCTTGGCTGGCTTGGCTGGCTTGGCTGGATGGATGGATGAATGAATGGAGAGGACTTCTGTCGGGTACTCCTGGAGAGGTCCTCACAGCCGCTTAGACCCACTCGACCAGCGCTCGCCGCTCGCGCTCGCTCGCTCGCTTCGCTCACTCGCTCGCCCGCCCGGGCACACAGGCCCCGCAGCCTCTCGCGGAGAACCCGTACGACGACACGATGAGTGGAGTGCCCACTACGGAGAAGTGCCTGCTACCAAGAGTCGTGATGAGATGTCCCCTTTTGCGTGTGAGAGAAGGGTTTCCATACGCCGTGGAGAGGCGCGGAGAGGTCGCGATTCGGGGGAAGTGGATGCTGGGAGATCCGGCGTACGGCCATTGGGCGAGTGCGGCCAATCGGGTGGCGCGTACGCGCCGCGACCTCGCTCATTGGACCGCGCGGCTGCCGCTATGATCCATGACGAAACATGCCCACCGCGTCAGCGGTGACGTCGTTGGTGTCGACGCGGAAAGCGTCGGCGCGTATCTACCTATCGGAGGGATCGCGTGGCCACGTTCCCCGAAATCGTTGCTGCCGCGAGGAGCCACCCCTTGGGCGGCGCTGGAGACGAAAGGGCGGGGAAAAACTAATGACGGAAAAATGTTCCTCGCCGGCACCGGCGCCGAAATCCTCGTCGTGGCTCAGCGGCCGACGGTACTTTTCGTATCTCTGCGTCACGGCTGTCACGCATCCGCCACCAAGCGTACAAATCCGAATCCCACGAGTTTGCAAGCATCAAGATAAGATTCTCGCAAGCTTTTCCAGCGAGGCACGCGCGAGGAGAGCTTTCTGTCATTCCGTTCTCTTGTGGCTATTGTCGGCGAGCGTGGGAATTAGACGTTCAGTGGTGTTGATCTTTCACGTGGGTGATATCTCGGCGAGGTTCGCTCCTGTGTATCCGATAACGATATCGATATGCGCTGGTGCATACGTCTAGTGCGATTATCAGAGGCTGTTGTACACAAATCTACTTAACTGCAAAAGCATGCCATTCTAAGCGTCTTAATTTTCACGAAATGTTTGACAAACATTCTGCCAATTATGTGATAACTCGTGCTCACTATCTCTATATGTATGCTTTTGTGTTAATTTGTGTACGCCAGTGTATCCAATTTCTTGTAAATCATTAGTTTGATTTCTAAATACGACAGACGTGCAAGGGGTTTCATGTAAGGGGAAGAGAAATATATATATTTGAACAGTATATTTAAATAATGTAAATATATCGTGTACTAGAAAATATAAAAAGCGTTTAGTGCTCTTTGCATTTTTTAAAAATACAAAAATACCACTTTTTGACGCATGGTATTTAAATTATTCAGCTCTTCTCCAGCGTTCAAGTGTGCCTCTCTTTTTCCCTAATTGTTTTAGTCGTAAAAATGTATATAAATATAGATGTTTCGACGGACAAAATAATTTTAATTTCAGGTCTAACATTAAAATATATTGGTTTTAACTATTACTTTGATCATTTAATTTTCATTTTCTTCAGTTGCGTGTGTGCATGTACGTATGTGTACGTGCGCGCGCGCAAAACACACACACACACATATATATTACAAATCTCAAATTAATATTATTTAAAAATTATAAAATATTATTTATAAAAATTTAAAAAAACAATGAATTTTCACATTATAAAGTTATTGTACTGTCTTTATAATATTGTTATAGCTTTTATTTGTTACAAGTTTATACAAAAGTATAAAAATGAATATTGTTTTTACATCTTATTATAGATTTTTTTAGAATTTATCCGTATTTATTTATAATTGCGAAATTTATTTCTAATATTATCTTAATTTTATAAATTTATGTATTTCTTGTGATGTTTTTATAACACCTCTTTCTTAACATTATTCACATGAGACAGAATTTTTTTATTACATTGCAGCAAAATTAAAACAAGTTTTATAGAGATGTTGAAATACAAAATTCCAGTAAGCTATAGCAATACGATACAAAACTAGCAACATATCAAAAGCATGGTAGAAATATTATATTGCGATAATTGAGAAATATGGTTTTATTGTTCTACTGTTACATAAAAATTTTACGTATTAGTAAAATAATATATACATTAACACCATAAAAAAATAATAACATGTATTTAATTTACTGAATATCTCTTTCTAATTTTTTAATTAAAATTGAGCTTCTCCTATATTAAAAAAGAGTCATAATCTTAAAATATGAAGAATAGCAAGCAATTTTATCACCTAGTTTTTCATATTTAAAAAGAGAGAAGCAAAGAAAACTATTTTATAAGTTTTAATTAAAAGATATATACAATTGTTTACATATAAAACAATAAAATAAAAATTATTATTCATATATGCAACTATATATATTTTTATTAAACTTATATATACTTTAACATAAATGAAATGGAGCACCACAAAAAAGAATAAATTTTTAATTACTTTTTAAAATACTATTATGTATGAAAATATTATTAAGAATAAAATTACAAAATTTTTGAAGGAAAAACTATAAGAAAAAGATTTTGTTGATTATTCAAAGGCATTATATTTTCTCGATTTTAAAATTGTCAACATTTTATTAAATAATCAATGTATATTTATTTTCTACATGTAAAAATGTATTAAATGAGGCACTATGCGTGTTGCCTATTGATTATATATTTTTCTTTAACACTTGTGTAATTGCACAGAATTTTTTTATAATTTTGTATTTTATATTAATAAATGTTTTAGTACATAAACTTAAAATGAAGATTTTGTTGTAACAAAAAATATTTATCTTTTAAATATGGCATATGAAATTTTTTTTCATTATTATCAACAAATTGCTTATCATTTACAAATAAAAAAGTATCGTGATTAAAAAATTGTCAAAATTTATTTCATATATTTATTAATACGATTATTATTAACATGACTATTTTATGAATATTTTTTATTAAATTAATAAAATTATTAATCTTTAACGGTTATACAATAAGTTTCATTAATAAGTTTTTCATATCATGAATTTTTTACTTGTGCTCCAGAAATCTATAGACAAATAAAAGTTTACAATCGAAATTATTTTGATCATATCATTTATCTTCTTCTTTATTTTTTTCCAGATAAAATATTTTTAATTATAATTCTTATTATTTTAACATTTATTATTAATATATTTTATTTTATTATTTATTTACAATAATGCTCCCTTTTGTTCTCTCTCTCTCTTTCTGTCTCTCTAAGATTATTAATTTAATTAAAATGAAAATTAACGAGAAAGAAACAAGAAAAATTAATCAGAAATAGATAAATACAAGAAACTTGTTAAAATTATTTGAGATTAGAAATTTTTTCATCTTTTTCCCAATGTTTATATATATAATGATTATATATAATTTCTATACTTTCTTTATTTTATTTATTTTAACTCTTTCTATATATTCATTTTATATCATAAATTATAGAATATATATCATTTTTATATGAAAATCATGAAAGATTCGAGCAATTATATATCTAATGTCAACATAATAATGTGGCAACCCTTGACAACTGCACATATTACATATATGTGATTTCACTGTGTATAAGTATTACATTATCAGGCAAGCTTTGCTGGTAAGTTTTATGACTTTTACACATGTGTCTGTAAATAATGTAAATTAATGTTAATAAAGTATTTAATTAAATAAGTAATAAATAAAATAAATTTAATTTTATAAAAAATACTTTTACACAATAATATATATTATCCATGATATATATCTATTCAATAATTATAGTTTTACATTTAAAACTTTACATTTAAAATAAAAATATAATATTATCTTTCCTACAATATTGATTTATTTTCAAATATTAAACGTAGATGCTTAAAACACTTACAATATTTATACTTTTTAGGTATCTATTATTAATTGTAATGTCAAATGTAATTTAATATAATTGTAATTTAAATTTTTCTCACATTTTCACAATTTTTCACACATTTTATTACAATTAAGCAAAATACTTACAAAAGACTATATAATATTACTACACTTTTTGTATATCTACACTTGTCAATACACTTGTTTAAATATTTATACTTGTAAATATTAAAACTGATTTAAACATTGTTTTAATTGTAATGTGAATAGTCTCGATAAAGAAGAGAAAAATCGATAAAGTTTTTTGAGAAAACATTGAAGAGAACAAATGGAATTTGTTTAGATTTTTCACTTACAATATATTTTTCAAAATATTACACTTTTCATCTAAATCTTTATAAATTTCACAATCGCGATTTATAATTTTGTTGAGAAATCAAAAGAAATTTCAATAAAATCTCAGAAAATTTTCTATGCGGACAAAAACTTATCGAATGTAGCGACGCCAAGTACATAAAAATTTCCTTCTAATCTATCAATAATTTTATATAAATATGCATATTATATTCTATATGGATTACGACGCTAAATAGCTATTTCGGAATTTTACATAAAACTTTCAATTAAGATATTTCAGGAATTAAAACCTAATAAAAAACCTAATAAAAAACCTAATAAAAAATCTGCCTGCATTTTTATGATGTTTATTAATATAATACGATTGCGATCAGTTCAAAAGATTGGTGTAGCCAATTCTGAGAAATGGTAATCCGCTAAAAAATCTTACAAGATGAAAGAATATATAAAAATTTTTAAAACTAGAGAGATCGAATTAGTCAAGTACAATAAATTATTCCCTATTAATTTGTAATTGATACTAAATGAGTTAAGATTTTTTTAAATTCCTAAAACACTTTTTATATGATGTTTACTTTACAAATGTAGAGTGATTATCAGTTGAGAGAAAGTCTTAGAATCGAGTTCTGGTAACACCCCGGTATTTTTTTTCCTTTCTGACCAGAAAAATAATATACTTCTGATAGAATCTTTCCCTTTTATTGTCCCATGCAATAGTTGAAATTTCTTACACGCGTGGATTTAAAGTTCGTGATAAGTATCCTTGATATTGATTGATACTCTTGCAGAATTAACGATAGTAAGTAAGCAAATGAATACTTTGATTCGATTTCGAATCAAGTTTTTATTTTGGTGCAGAATCAACTTGCCTGTTTTTTTTTTATTTATTGATAAATCACGTTGACTCTATTTAATTAAGATCTTAAATTGTCAGTAAATAGATATTTAATTATACTTAAATAGATATTTAATTATACTTAAGAATATTTATTATTACATTAATTAATATGTAC